GATATTATTGGAATTGATAAATAAAAAATAATTATATTATTGACCGGTGCAGATCATAATGGCCTGAAGGATAATATAGATTATGAAATAAAAAAACATCTTTGAAAACAAGATTCTTTTTAAGTTTGTTATTATTCTTACTTTAAACATAAGGATAATAAATTATTTACTTTGCTGAATCATTTCACATTGTTCAGAACACTATTTTCTTTTATTAACCTCTGAAAATGACGATTGAAATAGTCTACTATTGCAATTTACTATGAAAATTGAAAGTGTTGATCAAAACTTTATAGTAAAAATTTAATCACATGATTTGTGTGACATCTCAATCGACTGTTAAGCACAAAATAACACATAGGTAAGGGTTAAGCCCACATAAAATTTGCTTTCCACCAGAATATAAAATTATTTTCAGAATACCAAATCGAGTTGTCTAAATAATAAAAATAAATTCATTAACCCGGTTAAAATTATATAGGCATGTGAAAAAGATGCACGATGCATAGGGATGCTAATGACAATTAATTCTAGCGATTAAAAATAATAAAAATAATAAATATACAAGTCGGGTCAAGCCGTTAGCATCCCTAACAATGCTAATAACGATGCATAAAAAAATTTTATGGGTCAACCGGGTAAGCATAATTATTCCGGATAATCACAGTGAATATCGGTTCCCGGGTGAGTGGGCTTAAGCCCTACGCGTAGGGGTATAATTTCGAATAATGGCCCGAATTAAGCTTAATTTAGGCCAAAAATCGGAATTACATCCTGTGCGTTATTTCGCGCTTATACGGTATATATTGTCGTTAAATTGAAATTACGCTTTAATTAATACTATCGTTATGAAATTAATTATTATTATGGCACAATGGTTTTTTGTCGTAACCGTAACCATAGCTGGCCGTATTCATTGGGATGATTCTACTGCATCACTATTTCAGACACTGCTTGCACCCGAGGCTAAATCAGGAAGTTTCAAAAAAAAAGATAATGATAATATGTTTCGGGTCTAAAAAAAGAGACTAAAATTATAGAACATGTAAATTTGGTAGCAACAATGAAACCTTATTTTTTCTTATTAATAAGAGACAAAATATACCAAATCTCTTGACTACATTTGAAACTTTAGATCCCAACTAAACATCTATCAAATTGTAAATTTGGAAATAATAAAAATATATAAAATTCTGAGATCATATAACTTGTTCTACTGCTTGGCTCTCCACTTATCGCATGTTGTTTTTGTCTCTCCAATCTAAAAATTTCTGAGCCATTTTGGAGAAAAGAGTAATTGCAAATCCACGAAATAAGAAATTCGTTACGACGATAAAGAACATTGCGATTAGTTGTTGTATCCCTGAGAACGGAATTTGATGGAGGGGGTACTTGCAAGCCGTGATCATCCACAAAATAGATACTTGCAAAATTTTCATCAATTCTTTCGATCCTTGCTTCGACATTGTGCCCAATATGGAGTACATTTATGTTGTCGTTTTGATAAGAGAAACTACTCTTGCGGAATGACATTTATAAGAAGGTTCGTTTGTATCTGTTTGAACCATTTTTTATAAAGGTAAAATTTGATTGTTTTTTTGGAAGAAAAGGTTCCAAAATTTTTTTGGTTCCAAATACAAAATTTCCTTGTTTATATCAATATTTTAACGTTAATACTCAGAAATAGGCTGAATTAACGTTAAGTGAATTAAGTCCTTACCTAGAAGTGAGAAAATATTTATAAAAAGTGGACGAGAAGGAATTTCTTAAACTCGATGTTACGAAGACTTTTATATGTGGCATTTGAAAATTTTTTCTTTACGTCAAAATCTCACTGCGGTTGGGATGAAAAAAATTTGAAGCGACTAACCATTTCTTGTATGGAATGTCGATCAGGCAAAACCTCAATGCTACGGCGAAGTTCTATAGAATATCGATATTATTTTTTCCGATAAATGAAAGCTAATGCGAGTATGATAGATAATGAGTCCAGTATATGTTCTAGTGGTTCTTAAATAAGACCTGGATATGTTATATTTTTCGACCGTATACTGATTTATTATAAGTGCCAAAATTCAAAGGGATAACGATAAAGATATATTAATGTCTTTACAATTAGTATTACTAGTGCTGTGATGGAATTCTGTGTATGAGTAACCAGTTCCACTAAGTAAAATGTATATCACCTAATCCATGCATTATTAAAATTTAGAACTGGGATTGCGCGACAAAATTCAGCAAATCGACCAAAATCCTGAATCGGAATGGGTTGGAATTGATAAATTTGCATTACTTAAAGATACGCAAGGAGGTAAATACGAAATCTATTATTAATAAACTCGAGCTTCTCGGAAAATTTACACAATACTGGTACATAGCTAAATATACAGGTAACGAACCCAACACATTGCAAAAACCGACCATATCAAAACGTTAAACACGGATCTCTTACTATTTAAAAGCTTGCACTTATTCAAACTAAAACAGTTAATAATAAAAGTTTATTTGAATCTGACATAATAAACGGTTTAATATTTCCAATAACTTTACAGTATAATTTCGTACGGTCCAATAGACGACAGTATATCCTGTCTTCTAAGTAAACTTCGAGATTTTGATTCTTTTTTGATTCTTTTGCATAGTGAACGTTGGCACTCGACTTAGTCTAAAGATGATTTTTATAGCAATTTTTTGTTAATGAAACATTTGTGTTTTTAAAAAGTATTGTATAACATATAAATAAGTTACCCGAGCAATTGATTTACATCAGAATCAGACAAATTTCTGTCTATGAAACATATTTGCATATTCATATTTCAGTCCACTCTAATGCGAAAATCATTAGCCCATATTAACGCGAATTTTTATGATCAAGGTGGGTCTTTACTAGAGTTCAACACGGGTTTCGCCTTGACATAATACATCAGAGCTATAATCAACGATGTTTTAAAACATTTTATTAAACAAAGTTAAAAATCATAAAAATCATTTAAAATCGACTTTTCACCATCCCTAAGTGTAGCCTATACTAAGGATGGTAAAAAACGTTTTAAACAGTTTTTTAAACGTTTTTATTGTTTTAAAACTTTTTAAAACATCGAAGTCTGAGATAAAATTTTGCTTTTATTAATTAATTTTAATTTTCAGCTGAGAAATTTTTTTTTAAAAAGACGTTGGTATAATTTCGAATTTATCGAATATTAGAATATTACGTAAAGAAATATATTTGTTCGCTTTAATTTTTATCAAAGCTAACGATCGCTATTATTTTTTAGATGCAAAATTTTCATTCTATATTAGTTTTACAGTTGTTGGTGTTGAAAGTCGAGGGTTTACAACATTGTCACTATGTAATAGATTTTTTTCGAATGAATTATTTGAAGAACCAGAATCCTTTTTTTGAGTCTTTGATATTTCATGGAAGTTTTTTTTTTACATTTTAATGAATGACCTTTTTCTTTTGATGAGGATCTTTCACGAACATGAGACATTGTTTTGAAAAATTTTCTTATTCGATTTTTGTAATCTTAATACATATAAATAACGCAATCGAATCATAAATACGTCATAATGTATTAACCCATTTTTTAACAGATTTAAATCAAACATGATTTTTAAGATCGTGTTTTAAAACATTTGCCATCCCTAGCCTATACTCGTTCCTAATATTTAACGCAGTTACAAATCAGTTTCTCCGATAAAACTGCAATTAAAGTTATAATACATAATAAATATGCATCTAAATCGGCAAAATCAGAGGCAAATATATTTCTTTTACTGACAAAATTAATAATAGTTCCAGGCCATGATGACAAAATCTGTATTTTCTAAAAATATTGATTTATATGGGGTGCAACCGTCCAATAATGATATCCTGGTTTTTTTTTGGTTGGTGGGGTGCAACCATCCAACCATATATGAACTTATGTCATCCAATTTTTATGATAGCTGAAAATATGTTTCTCCAAATAAGTGTTACAATAATATCTCACAAATTAATTTTTACCTTTGCAGAAAATGTGAAAAAGTTCTGTAATTATTTGGAACCCCAGCACGTTTTGGGGGCTTGTTACTTCAGAGTGTGGTTAGGGCTTATTAACTCCGGGCAGAAAAAAATGGAATAAAAAATTTGAGAAAGGTCCTATTAATAAAAGAGGCATGTGTTGACTTTATTACGGAAGGAGACAAATTCAGAATGAAATCCGGAACCAGTACAGGTTCATTATTTCACTATTAGAAATATTGCAAAGCCAAAGCCAAGCCGATTTGCGCGGGTAACACAAACCAAAAAAGGAAATCAAATTTTGTAAATAAACTAAGTGTGTAAAAATAGAGTTTAGGATTAGGGGGTGGTGAGCCTCATTGATCAGTTCGAGTTTCTTATATGTAAAATTTCATCCCGTTATTTTTTATTAGTCCACCAAGGTCGATATAAAACTAGTCTTTGAGTGTTTTCGCTTTTTTCTTCTTTCGCACGTGTTCGGGTTCTGATCCGGAATAGCCAAAGTTTCTGGCCATTTCTTTTTTAGTAACCCGCACAAATAAGTGGCTGCATATTAAGCCATGATCGCTGGGTAAAAAGGGAAATAGATAGAAGACAAGTAGCAGTAAACATCACAGATATTCTTCTTCATGAGATAAAAAGAAATGTTCTTCATCGAGTTTTCGGTAGCTCAGAGAATGTGCTTGTTGATACCATTCTCTCTTCCCAAACTATATCTAAACAATGGAAAGAACTGTTAACCTTTGAAACAATTCTGTTTTTTACATAAAATTTTTTAATTGTTTTGTTTTTATCAACGCTCATTGTTTTTTTGTCTTTCATAAATCGACACATCAATTTTTACCTTGTTTATACTTATACCATAATTAATACACTCCAATTTAAAGTTTTCAAATTCGCATCTTATATATCTTCAAAAAACCTATTTTCAATAGTAATCTAGACCTATCAGTCTAGTTGAACATATTAAAAAACTATACACCAAACTTCTTATCAACCACTTTAACTACACTATCCCAACATAACATTCTTTCATCTTTTCAACTTCGTTACAATTTCTGGCAACTATATTTCTATACCTTATAAATTTAGATAAAGCTGGTAAAGTAACTTGGGCTATTATGTATAACGTATTTCAAGATAGAGAAATTTTAAATAATTTTATTAATACGTGTGAAGATGCTGAAAAATTTAAATTAAAAGTAAAACGTAGTATTCATATCTTTATCACACGCATTATAGAGATATCGAATGCCAATTGATTTTGATATTAAAGTGATAAGAAATGATGTTCAGAGCACTTCTAGTAAGAGACGGAAGGTTAGACAAAGTGTCGGATCAAGGGGAAATAAACCTGAGTACACTACGTTCCTGGTATATTGGATATTCTATGATAGAATTGATGTGACCAGATGACTTGCATCATAAATATTAGAAATCAAATATTAAATTTAATATCCGGGCATTTTTCAAGAAAAAATGGAATGAATTTGTTAAAATTAGTATGAATTCAGTAAGAGACATTTTAAAAGAAACCTTAAAAATAATACCACATTGAACCTCTGTGGACATTACGGACGTTGGGACAGAAAGATTAACATCAATATGGGATGTTATTCTTTCTGAAAATACTAAATTAACTTCTTTAACCCTTTCAAATAATGCAATTAGTGCCGAGGAGGCTGATTATTGGGTTAATATTGATTCTAATAGTCATGAAGCTCAATCACAGAGAAATCGTATTTCTTGAGCTTGAAAAAGCTTTGTCACTATGGGTAGATCGTGCACTTGAAGCAAATTAACTATTTCAAGACATTACTGCAAAGCGAACATTTGTTTGATTTTCTTTACAATGACTACGATGTTAATATAAATTTCATCGATGAAAGTTATAATTTGAATTACCTAATGTTCTCAAGAATTTGCTAATCTTTTAGGAATTACAAATTTTAAAGCATCTGATGGCTGGGTCTCAAACTTTAAAAACGAATTGGTTTGCGTGAGTTTAATCACCATGATGAAGCTAGCAGCGCACCACTAGAAAGCGGAATGGAAGTCGACAAACGTAAAATCCCGTAATGATCATAACAAGTTGGCTCAGTTTTGCATAGGTGGATGTGTTGATATGCCAAAAAAAAAAAAATCAAGAGCTAGTTGTGTATATTAATTTCTTTCGTCAATTAAAATCTTAAATGACGAAACTGACGAATGGTGATGATACTGACGAAAGGTGACGAAACTGACGAAAATGACGAAACTGCGAAGGGTGACAAAACTCATAAAAGACGAAGGAAGAACAGATAAATGTTGTTAAAACTTATTGAAGACAATAATAAAAAATAAACCAAATCAAAAAATTACATAAAATTTATTAAATTTATTATATAATAAGCGCTTGAATTGTTTAAAGAGAGTTAGAAATGAGAATTCTACATTGTATTATACTAACTACATATCAGTTTATAAAATTCAAGCTTTGATTTATGTGCGATAAATGAATAAAAATGAATATTGAACAAATTTCTATGTGCGCTATATATATAAATCTCTGAAATTTGTGTGCGGAAAGAAAATTTTATGTCGCAAATCTTAAGCGCACGTTCAATTTTATACACTGCTACATATCAGTTCTAGTGAGAAATCGCTTGGTGCTTACTTTGTGGTCTCTTACAAATTCGGTTGTACCAGTATGTTTTAATTCATTATTTGTGTCATTCCATGAGTACTATGGCCTTTTTGACAAGGTTATTTCAACCGGTCTTTATAACAACCCTAGCGTTGCCCAGAAAAATTGAACTGGATTATTTTGCTGTCTTACATGTAATTTCAGATAGTGATCTCTGGATAAATTATGAATTTTTATTAAATGAAACAACTTTCGTTTTTTTTTTTTTTAGCGGGGGCACTAGGGTTTCGTCATTTTAAGTTTAAGGTTTCATTTAACAACTATAGTATTATTACAGGTATAAGCGCACCCCTTGCAATTAATAACCTATTAATAACCTATCATAATTTATTACCCTATCGTCAAAGCTAAGATTCCTTCTCATAACGCACCATTAAATGAAGTCGAACAATGCGTTACTAGTTCTGCGAGTAAGAGTTTAAAACTAGCACTTCAACACCAGATACTATTTTTAAGTTTAATGTATATATTTAGAATGGACTATTTTTAATCTTCATGGAATAAGCCGTATTTTCTCAAAAAATCTAATTCAACCGTTTCTGCACAAGACAATGAAGATTCTTCTGATGATTCTATAATTAAAACCCCAAAAAGATAAGGACGCACTATTTTTCTTGCCACATTATCTTTTTTCTTAATAATAAATTAGTTATCTTTTCAATTATGTGATCGTGACAACGTGATGGCCTGGTGAAAGCGGGTGCGTAAGTTTTTTTTTTTTTGTACACTCGCTATACCTGATAAGATTGACCATTATGACAAAAAATCTTCTGAAGTATTTTTTGTAAATTTGATAATTGGCTTTACTATATAAAATTTATTCTATCTCATGGTAATAAATATAGTAAATTATTTTCTGTATTATTTTTATATCAATAAACCGATATGAACGTCAATTACCATTAGTTAGCATGCTATAGTCATGTGGCTCAAAACTATTTACAGTATTGTGCAATTATTGAATTGTTAGAAGTCGGGTTGTAAAGTTCTGGCCACAAGTAATTTTCACGGGGCCTTATATACCATGTATTAGAGTGTCTAGCATCTAAAATAGCGCTAACGATATTACGAAAATAAACAAAATTTGATAAAATTTGTCTTATTTTTATTCTATAAACTTATAGTATTAAAGTAAACAATTCCGGTTGAATTTGATTATGTGGTTGTCGTAATATCACTAGTGCTATTTTAGATGCTAGAAATAGCTGGACACTCTGCCATGTATATGTTAGAGAATCTTATCACATTTTTTTAATCTAAAATTTGATTTCGCTAATTCTAAAGTATATTGCTAAAGAGAGAATTTCCAGAAACCGAGGTAAGTAAGGTAAGTATATTGCCTGAAAAGGTTTCGCCGGAAATAAGTGTACCAATCAAACCTGACAGCAAGTTTCTATTTACCAGACGATCTAGAATAAAAACGAAAATATGTTAAAGTAGTTCCCTTATTTACCTTTAAATACAGCAGAATATGGTAATTATTTTGATTGTTCAGTAATACATATGCCCGGTATGTAATAAATAGTAACTATGAAAGCATAGGTATTAATAATAGACGCAAGTTGCAAAATTAATTCAAACTAATGTTTCTATCAATTTACACAATTGAATTAAATAAAAATGATGAGGCCACCGGACCTCCTTTATTTCATAAAAAGTTGTTGCTGGAACAACAATATATAACATACCAATAAAAAATATTTTTTATTATAGAGTAAAAATATATATAAATAAAAATAAAAATAAAATAAAAAATAAATAAATAAATAAATAAAAAATGCCTCAAAGAAGCACCCTTAACTCGATTTTAAATGTATCAATATGTTCGCGGCAATAAACAATAAAATTTTATTAGAATCGAAGATTTTAAAATATCTGACTTAAAAAAAATAAAAATAAACAAATAAAGATTGTGAAATTTTAGATAATCTAAGCTATTACGATACGTACAATGGATTCATACCGATACAGTTTTGCCATAACTGTCAATTCTACGGTTGAATCTCTATTAATAATACTAATTTATTCACTCGCATAGACATTTAAAAGAAGGTACATTACTGATTTTAAAAAAGAAGCATTGTATCTTAGAACCGTTACTTTTTTTTTTCCACCTACTCATCGACAAGGGACTACAACTTTTCTATTTCCTTGAATGCATCGATAGCAATTAAATAGATTAAACCTATTACTACGATAACAGGTTTCACAATACCACTGGGGTCCACGTTCAAAACAATTGAATTGTCCAAAAACGCATGGCTGACAATGTAAATGCTTTTGACGACTACAACATGTACCACAAATCCATCTCCATCTAATACGTCTCCCATTTCGATTTACCTTTATATTGTCGTTAACGGTTTCATTGTCAAGATCAACGTCAGTGTATGATTGAGTCTTCATAAATTCTGACTTGAAATCGATGACTTGCGAGACATTCGCATTGTCAAGGGGATTTAACGAACTTGAGGCGATGACATGAATAAGGACGAATAAAATGATAAATAATTTCAACATTTTTTTTTTTCTCTTTGCATTGATTGAGTTAGGGAAATTCATAACATGGTATTTTTATACATAATAAAATAGCAAAATAAAATATCATATTTTAATTATTAGATTAACTTTACATATTAGTTTATCTTATTGATGAAACTAAAACTGTTTGACATCAAGCGATGAAATTAGACCATATAATCTACGTCTGTAATTAAACTTCTAATTCTAGAAGCGAAAACTGTCGTGAATCCAGAATAAAATGGTGATTTTAATTTGATGAACTAATCGATATGTCATTCTTTAATTTTACTGTTTGAAAAATGATTTAGAACACTTTTTAGTGCAATTAGTTAACAAAACTTTATTTTTATGTATATAATTAAAAAAATGAGATAGCATTCGCTAAAAATTCTATCTTAATATTAATACTGTATACATGTTACATGTAACTTTTTATTTGTCATTTAGTGATATAAAGTCGTTCAAAAATCCGAAAGTTTGATTACTAATTGGCTGGAACTGAGGGGAACAAAGTGAAAGCTTTTAAACTCTTACTCTACTAAAATTTTAGGAATGTCCAGTTCCCGGTTCAGCTGATCCTGATTTAGTTTCGGCATCAAAATTTAAGCCTAAATTAAGTTCTATTGAACGTTAGCTACTAAGAAGTCAAGTGCTTATCAATTAATCAAGATGTGCGCAATAGTTACTTTCTGATGTGTTATCTTCGAAACTAAATAAAATCCAAATTTAAGTTAATATTTATTGCGAACAAAAATCAAATAAAAAAAGACGATGCAATACTATTTTGAAATGTATTTTTTTTTCCATGTTCTATTTGATAAATATTTAAAACTTTATTTTCAGTGACGTGATTTACCTCTCCGAACAATTGCCTCGATTTTACTCATAAGCTATAGGTGACCCTCTCCCAACTACATAGCTACACCTACCTACGATCACCATAAAATTGTCGTTTACGTATACAAATACAATTGGGCCTTATAAATAGTCCCCAAAATATCCATTGATCTAAAATCGTATAGTGCAAGCATCCTTAAACCAACTATAGTGGCCAAATTTAAAACAAAATACTGAATTTTAAGTGGCTAATATCTTAAAATTTTATTATGTTTTTTTAAAATTTTGGTATTTTTTAAAGTTTTTGATTTCTCAACAACCATCCAAATTTAATGAAATTTTTTATTTTAATTCTACGGGTTCATAGAATTAAAATAAAAAATATTTTGATTTAATTCTACGAGCATATAGAATTAAAATAATAAAATTTTTTATTTTAATTCTATAAATTCATAGAATTAAAATAAATAAAAAAATTCATTGATTTTGAATAGATAGTTATCGAGATATCATCGCTCAATGGAAAGAACCTAGCCGTAATTCTTGATAATCTTCTAAATTTTTTTAAATTTTGGTCGATGATATCCCGATAACTACCTATCTAAAATCGATGGAATTTTTTTTTATTTTAATTCTATGGATCCATAGATTAAAATAAAAAAAAAATTTAATTGATTTTTGATAGGTAGTTACTGAGATATCTT